TCGCCGCCGCGGCCGCGCGCGCCGCGACGACGGCGCCCGTGACGCGGTCGAGCGTCTCGCGCCACGCGGCGTCGGCGCGCGACGGCGACACGACGATGAGCCCCTCGCGCGCGTCGACGCACTCGCGGGGCTCCGTCGTCGAGAAGACGACGTCGAAGCCGTCGAGGCGCCGCGCGCCCGCCGCCGCGTCGAGCCGCCGCAGCAGGCCCGCGAGGGGCCGCGCGGTCCAGTTGCACCGGTTGTCGACCCTCGCGAGCCCCGTGCGCTCGGCGACGCGGCGCGCGAGCGCGTCGACGTGGGCCGCCGCGCGCCGCCGCTCCCGGAGCGCCGCGAGGCTCGGCGCCTTGGCGGCCGTGCCGTAGGCCGCGAGCGACCGGTTCCGGTCGACGGGCGCCGGCGGCGCGCGGAACGGCACGGCGCCCGCGCCGGCCCGCCGCGGCGGCGGCGGCCGCGGCGCGGGGCGCGGCCGCCGCCGCGGCGCGGCGCTCCCGCCGAGCGCGACGGCCATGGAGTCGACGCACACGGCGACGCCGCGGCCGACGACGACGCGCGCCTCGCGGAGCTCCGTGCCGTCCGGCGCGGGCTTGCGGTAAAACAGCAGATTCGCCGAGCCCACGTAGGTGCTCTCGCGCAGGTAGGCCTGGAGCGTCGCGACGTTGACGCCGTTGACGCGCTTCGCCTCGGGGAACGCCGGCAGCATGTCGGGGTGCACCTCTAAGAGGAATTTGCGGAGCGTCGGCAGTGTGCTCGAGCAGCGGCGCGTGACGCGCGGGCGCGCGACGAGCAGCCGTGCTGCCGTGTGGAGACCCCGCAGCATGACGCGGACTCCCCAGCTACGACGCACCCATCATCGTCGCAATGGGTCTGCAACGTCTCCCCACAAGGTCAAGGTGCACGCCGGGGCGGCTCTCTAGCGCTGCCCATCTCGCGCGCGCCGCAGCCGCAGCCGGCGCCGTCCGCCGCCTGCCTCGCGCGCTCCGGCACGCGTCCGCGCGTCCGCGCCGCCGCGTCCGCGCCGCGGCCGCCGCCGCCATGCACATCTCGGCGATGACGAACGCGCAGACCTTCAAGCTCTTCCTCGACAAGATGATGCCCGGCAGGAAGCTGAAGATATTAGACGTCGGCGGCCTCAACGTCAACGGCAGCGTGCGCCCGCTCTTCGACGGCCACGACTTCTGCGCCCTCGACATGGAGGCGGACCCGTCCGTCGACGTCGTGTCGCCGCCGGGCGAGCCGCTGCCGTTCGCCGACGGCCACTTCGACGCCGTCGTGTCGACGTCCTGCTTCGAGCACGACCCCATCTTCTGGCTCACGTTCAAGGAGATCGCCCGCGTGACCAAGGTCGGCGGCTACGTCTACATCAACGCGCCGTCGAACGAGGTCTACCACGGCTACCCGGGCGACAACTGGCGGTTCTACAAGGACGCGCCGGCCGCGCTCGCCTACTGGGCGTCGCGCAAGGGCCACGGCGAGCGCTACGCCATCAACGTCATCGACCACTGGATCGACCAGACGGAGTTCGCGAAGGACAACGTCATGGTCTTCAAGCGCGGCGGCGCCTTCGTCACCGCGTTCGTCATGGACGACGTCACGACGCTCGTCGACGTCCGCGCCCTCGCCGGCGTCACCAAGCCCAGGGCCGCGAAGAAGAAGTTCGCCATCAAGAAGAAGGCCGCGGAGCCGCCGCCGCCGCCCGCCGAGGGCTAAGTTGAAGTCGATGTTGATGGATGAGCACTGATCTGTGGCAATGGCTCCTTAGAGAGCACTGCTGCGATGTACCGCTGGGAGCGCGTCGCGCAGCCCGAGGGCTCGCCCGGCGCGCGGCGGTCCCACACGCTCGCGCGCTACGAGCGACACAGCGAAAACCTGCTGTGCTTCGGCGGCTTCCAGGGCGCCGAGGCGCTCGGCGACGCGTGGTCCCTGACGCTGCGGCTCGCGCGCGACCCGGCGCAGGGCTCCGCGGGCGACTGGGCGCCGCGGCCCGACCTCGCGCCGCCGACGCCGCGCCACGACCACGCGTTCTTCCGCGCGGGACACGACGACGCGCTGCTCGCCGTCGGCGGCATGGGCGCCGACAACACCGTCATCGGCGCGACGCACGCCTTCGACGACGCGGCCGCGCGGTGGACGGAAACGCGTGGCGGCGCTTTGCCGCCGCGGGCGAACGCGACGATCTCGCGCACGCGGCGCGGCGCGATCTGCTTCGGCGGCTACCGGGGCGGCGACCGCACGTTGGCGGACCTCTGGGCCTTCGACGCGGCCACGCGCCGCTGGCGCCCTCTCCACAACGGCATGGGCACGACGCGGCAGCCGTCGCGGCGCGCGGGCCACGGCGCCGTCGTCGTCGAGGGCGGCGGCCGCGAGGTCTGCTACGTCTTCGGCGGCTGGGACGGCGGCGACACCATGCTCGACGACACCTGGGCCCTAGACGTGGCGCGCGCGGAGACGGGCGACCCGGGGCCCTGGTGGGAGAAGCGGGACTGCGTCGGCGCGCGGCCGTCGCCGCGCGCGTGCTTCTCGCTGACCGTCGTGAGCCGGCCGCCGACGGGCGCCGTCGCGGCGACGTGCGCGCTCGTCGGCGGGCTGGCGCCCGACTGGCGCGCGCGCGACGCCGCGCTCTACGTGATGGAGCTGCCGCGGCCGGGGTCCTTCGGCGACGTGGTCTGGTCCCGCCCCGCCGTCTTCGGGCCCGAGCGGCCGCCGCCCGTCGCGTTCCACGCGGCCGCGGCGCCGCCGGGCGCCGGCTTCGACGCGGCCTTCGCGCCCGTCGCGGTCATCTTCGGCGGCGGCGACGGCGCGGGCCCCGCGGCGACGAACGTGAACCACCTCTTCGCGCTGCGGCGCGTGCTCTTCGCGCCGCGGACCGCGCGCTTCTTCGGCCCGCGCCTCCGGTGCGTCGCCGCGGCCCTCGGCCGCGCCGCGAGCGAGCGGCGCCTGCCCGCGGACCTGTGGCGGCGGATCCTGTCCTACGCGACCGCGACGTGGTGCGGCGACCCGCCGCCGCCGGTAGTCCTCGAGCGCACGGACGCGGACCTCGCGTTCGCTATGGACCCGGACTCCGACGACGACGGGCTCTACGAGTACGACGGCGACGACGACGGGCCGGCCTACGCGCCGACGGAGCCGACCTACCTAGGAGGAGGGACATTCGACCTCGCCGCCGCCGTGGCGACCCTGCCCGCCGCCGAGCTCGCCGCCGCCGTGGCCGCCGTGCCCGACGCCGAGCTCGCCGCCGCCATGGCGAGCGCCATGGCCGCGCTGCCCGACGCCGACGACGAGGTCCTCGAGGAGGAGTAACACTGGCACCTCTAGGAGACCCCGTAGCGCGCCTTGGCCGTCTCGAAGCAGGCCATCGACACGGCCGTCGACGGCGCGAAGAAGGCGACGCGCGCGCCCGCGCCGCGGAAGAGGCCCCGGAGGCCGCCGCCGCGCCACGCGGCCCCAAAGGCCGCGGCGAAGGACGGCGGCGCCGCGCCCGCGTCGCGGTGGACCTGCATGCGCAGCTTCGCGAGGTCCAGGGGCGCCGTCAAAAAGCTCGCGGCGCCGCCCGCACCGAGCGCGGCGCCGAGCGCCGCGTGGAAGGGCGGGTGCGGGCCGCCGCCGATCGCGGCCTTGCACTCCTCGTAGAGCGCGAAGTACAGGCCCGAGAACGTGCCGAAGGAGAGCAGCGTCGCGCCGTAGCCGCGGTACAGCGCGCCGACGCCCCCGCGCGCGACGGCGTCGCGGAGCGCCTGCGCCGACCCGCCGAGGTCCCGGTGCACCTGGACCCGCTCCTTGACGACGTCTATTGGAACGAAGACGACGCAGGCGACGGCCTCGGCGGCGAGGCCGCAGCCGAAGTGGCCGAGGGCGCCGGCGTCGCCGACGGCGCGCTTGCACGCCTCGTAGGTCGTGAAATAGAGCATCCCAGCCGGCGTGCCGACGAACGCCGCCGCGCCGAGCCCCGGTACAAGCCCCGCGGGCCCTCCTCCGCGAGCGTCCGCGCGCCGCAGGCGACGAGCGAGCCGGAGCGCGCGTCGGCCTGCAGCCGGCTCTTGATCGTGTCCAGCGGGTGGCAGAGGCAGCGCGCGGCGAAGGAGCCGACGCTCGAGGCCAGCGCCGTCTGCTCCAGCGACAGCTCCGCCATCGTGCGAGCGCCTGCTACGTCGCGGATCGCGGCCGGCGCGCGCTAGTGCGACGATGTGCTACGTCGCGGATCGCGGCCGGCGTGCGCTAGTGCGGCGTTGAGCAGCGGCCATTGCAGCGCTGCTGCAGCCGCGAGAGGTGGACCATCGCGATCGAACTGGCAAAGTGCACATCAACATTGAAGTTTCCATGGCCTCCAGCCCCCTTGCCAGCGATTCCCCGGGCGCCAGGCCTTCGCATTACCGGTCTTCGCAGGCGAGCGTGTTGGGCCAGATGGATGCGCACGCGGCGCGGCACGCGTCGACCGCGCGGACGTCCGCGTCGTCGGCCTTGGCGCACCGCTTGCCCGGCTTCTTCGCGGCCCAGGCGCACGTCTTCAGCTTGCCCTTCTTCGAGCGGCGGAACCAGGAGCTGCTGTCGACGCAGGCGCCGTCGTGGACCACCTCCACGTCGACCGTCGGCGCCGCGGACGGCGCCGGCGCCGCGCACCGCACGGCGCGGCGCGCGTGGACCGCGCCGGCGCCGGCGCCCGACGCGCCGAGGTCCTTCGCGGTCGCCAGCAGGCACTCGACGGCGGCGGCGCCCGGCGCCCCCGTGGCGAGGGCGAGGGCTACAACGCCCGCGACGAGAGGCGCGGCCATGGACGTGCCCGTCATCGTCGCCACGCCGCCGCCCGGCACCGTCGACACGACCCTCTCGCCCGGCGCCGCGACGTCGACCCAGGCGCCCCGGTTCGCAAAGGACGCCAGGTCACCGTCGCGGTCCGTCGCCGTGACCGCGACGACGGGGCCGTAGGCCGCCGGGTACCACGCGGCGCCGGATCCGCCGTTGCCCGCGGCCGCCACCACGACCACGCCCGCGGCGACCGCGTAGTCGATGGCGTCGAGCACGGCCTGGTTGTAGGCGTCGGGCGACGAGAAGGTCCAGGACAGGGAGCAGACGTGGGCGCCGTGGTCCGCGCCGTAGGCGATCGCGTCCGGGTAGCCCCGCGACCGCGTCTTCCCGAAAACGACGGACGTCATGAGCCGCGCGCCCGGCGACCCGAGGCCGCCGGCGACGCCGGCGATGGACAGTCCGTTGCCCGACGCCGCGCCGACGACGCCCGCGCAATGCGTGCCGTGGTTCGACGCGCCGAGGAGGTCCGCGCCGGAGTCGTCCGCGTGGTTATAGCCGCGGCAGTCGTCGACGTAGCCGTTGCCGTCGTCGTCGACCCCGTTGCCGCAGACCTCGCCGGGGTGCTTCCAGAGGGCGTCGACGAGGTCCGGGTGGGCCGCGTCGACGCCGCTGTCGACGACCTGGACGACGACGGCGTCGGACCCGCCGCCGTAGCGCGCCCACGCGTCGGGCACCTTCGCGGCCTTGAGCACGGCCTTCTGCAGGCCGAAGAGCGGGTCGTCGGGCTCGAAGCCGCCGGCCACGGCGACGTCGTCGACGTCGTCGGCGTCCCCGCCGCGCGGCGCGACGGCGACGACGGGCGCCGCGGCCTCGAGCGCGCTCGACGAGCGCGGGCGCCGCGCGCACTTTCGCCAGCGCTGCGGCGGCGGACCGGCCGCAGTCCAGCTCGAACCAGCGGTCCAGCCCGAAGGCCGCGTGCCGCGCCTCGTGGATGCCCGCGGGGCGGAAGACGCGCGTTGGCCGGCCGCAGCCCATGGCCCGCGCCGCCGCCGACGCCGCGGCCGCGGGGGACGGCGCGCGCCGCACCTTGACCTGGACGAGGCCCGCGACGTCGTCCCCGGCGACCGCCGCGGCGGCGCCCAGGAAGGCGAACCACCGCATCGCTCGACAATCCCAGTGGGTCTCGGGCAGCCCGACCCAGCGCGACATGCCGCGAACTTTTCTCCTGTGCGATGTGCAACAATCTTGACATTGCAGTCGCGAAGCACTGCTTGCTGCAGAGCGGCCGCGGCGGCTGGGGCTGGACGCAACTGAGCCAGCCGCGGGGCAACCAGGCCGCCGTCCCGGGCGCCACGGGCTACGTAGTTCTTCGGCGGCCAACAAGGAGAAGGATCCCCGGAGGCTCCGCGCCAAGCAGGACGCCGGAGCCGCCGTCATCACTCGCGCCCGTGCCGCCGCCGGTCGTGGCCGTCGTCAGCCTCGTCTTCGCGGCGCTCCATTCGGTGCTCGGCTTGCTCGGTCGTCTCATCTTCGGCCGCCTGATCGCATCGCCCAGGAGCACGATGAGCTCTCTTGTCAAGAAGGACGTGAACTCGTCGAGCGCGAAACCAAACGTTGTCGTGGCGTGTTGGAACATACGCTTCTCCCTCAAATTTCACAGAAAGGATAAGATGAGCGCCAAGGTGGGTCACATCGTAGAGCTGCTGTCTGGCGAGAAAGTACACGTGCTTGCGCTGCAGGAAGCTCCCGGCACAAATAGAGACTCCGAATACAAGTTATACGATGACTTCAATACAGCTCTGGGCGAAGAAATCGCTAAAAAGAGCCGGGAGCTGGGGCGGACTATCCGCCACGAGCCAGTTCTCACCGGTGGCGAGTCTGCCGTCTTCATTTGGGACGATGATGCATATGGACTTGAGCGCATCGGAGTGATTTTTGGTGTTCGCACCCACCCCACCTGGGTCGATGGTAAACCTGATCATGTTACTTGCATGTTCATCGAGAATAATTCAAATGACAGAGAACTTTGGCTCAATTGGAAGGAGCGTGACGCCAGATACAACAGGTTTAGGGAGGACTGGATCGAAAGACCTCCGGCTGCCCTTATCTTAAAACACCTGACTTCAGGCAGCTACCTCGGCATAATATCGGCGCACCTCAAATCGAAGGATAATCGCGGCCTCGATCAAACGCGCAATGAGGCGCGTCTGCTGTCGCACGCCGCCGAGTGCGTCGCGGCCGAGGTTGAAGCTCTCGGAGGTGGCGCGGTGATGGTGGTGGGTGATTTCAACCTTGGACCTCCAGGAGACCTCAGGGAAGGATCGGCTCCGCAGGGTGCCTGGCAGCGGCTATCGGAGTGCGGCTTTCGTTGTCTCGTCGACAGCGGCGGCGGCACGGTGTCGTCCAATATCGCGGAACTCGTCAAGGGCGGTGGGCATCTGTACGATAACATTTGGATCAAGACTATCGGTTCTGATTCCTCATTTGTTGATGGAGCGCGAGCGAAGGGTCGCGTTCACAAGATGCTCGACGCGTGCTTCTTTCTTGATGATTTCAAACGCAAGGTTGCCAGGGTAGACGCAGCACTCGACGTTTTGAAGCGGCGCGTAACCCAAGGAGCGTCTCATCATTTCTTTGCGCACTGGTCCGACCACTGGCCGGTGATCGCAGAGACTCTGCCAGAGCTCCCTCTTGAGACTCTGCCAGAGCTCCCTCTTAAGGCCCGAACGCGGGGCGCCGCTGTCGAGCCGCGGGCGCCCCTGCTGGCGCGGCTCTGGTGGTGGCTGCGGGCGACCATGATCCTCGTCGTCTACGCGGCCTTCGCCGGTGCGTGCCTAGGCTTCGCCTTCGGCGGCCGGCGCGGCGGCTTGGACGAGCTCTGAGCTCCCTCTGAGGGGTCCGTAGTGGCTAGCCTGAGGCCAAGTGACCGAGGCCCTCGGGCATCTGCACACCCACGCATAACTAAGCCGTCAAACTTAGGACGCCAACGCGAGGAGCTCCTCGAGGGGCACGGGCTTGAAGAGGCCCGTGTCGGGCTTCTTGACGAAGGTGACGCTGCGGTCCATGTACATCGTCGCCTTGCCGAACGCGTAGAGCTGCTTGCCGTCGTGGGAGCGGCCGACCTTCGGCCGGTAGACGACGTCGTGCTCCGCGGCGAAGCGCGCGACGACGTCCGCGAAGACGACGAAGCCCGCGCCGTCGACGGCCGCGCGCCAGCCCGGCGCCGCGGGCGCGGGCGCGGGCGCGGCCGCGGGCGCCGCGGCGGCCGCCGCGGCGAGCTGGACGCGCTCGAAGGACGACGGCGCCGCGAGGGGCGGCGCCGGCAGGCGCCGGAGGGCCTTGGCGTCGGCGAGGTACACCTCGACCATCTGCAGGCCGCAGCGGAGCAGCTCGCGGCACGCCGCGGCCGCGCCCTCCGACGGCGGCGGCGGCGCGTCGTCGTCGTCCTCGAGCTGCGTGATGGAGTTGCCCAGGAAGCGGTCCCGCCAGAGGACGTAAAAGTCCGCGACGTCCAGCGGGTCCGGCGCCGCGTCGTCCGAGACGAGGTAGTTTCGGAGCGCGGAGACCCACCGGGGCGCGATCTCCCCGAGCACGACGGCCCGCAGGTCGCCGTCGCGCGCGCCGAGGGACGCCCCCAGGCCCCGCAGCGCGTCGACGGGCCGCCAGTCCTGCGCCTCCATCTGCCCCGGCGGCGCCACGACCCACCCGCCGCGCGCGGCGTCAGCCACCGCGCGCGCGAGGTTCGACGACGCGATCTTCGCCCAGTCGCGCGCGTCGACGTGGGGCTTCCACTTGGCCGCCGCGCGCGCGACGGCGCGGAGGCCCGCCCGCCCCCGCGCGTCGTCGTCGGCGAAGCCGTCGTCCGCGGCGTCGTCTCCGCCGTCGCGCGCCGCGCGGCTCATCTCGAGCCGCAGGAGCCGCGCGGCCGCGTCCGACGCCGCGGACCGGTCGTCGCCGTCGAGGTGCGCGAGCCAGGGCGCGACGCAGGGCGCGCAGGGCCGGCCCGCGGGCGCCCCGCCGCGGCGCGCGCGCGCGATCTCCGCCTCGAGCAACTTCAACAGCCGCGGCGCCAAGACCGCGGACACGAACGCGTCGTCGCGGCCGCCGCCCCGCGGGAAGAGCGCCCCGACCAAAGCCAGGGCCGCGCCGTCTCGCTCGCCGCCCGGCGCCCAGGACCGCTGGAGCGCCGCGCGCGCGGCCGCGCCCGCGACGCGGTCCAACAGCAGCCGCCACGCGGGCGCCGCCGCGTCTACGTCGTAGGAGGCGTCGAAGAGCGCCTCGGGCCGCAGCGCCGCGACGACCTCGGCGGCGCGGCCCGGGTCCTCGAGGGGCCGCCAGCCGGCGAAGGCCGCCCTCGCGAGCGGCGCGGCCGCGTCGTACGTCGCCGCCGCGACGCCGCAGAGCGCCCACTCCTCGGGGAAGCGCGCGCGCGCGCGCTCGAGCGCCGCCTTGAACGCGGCGACGTCGCCGCTCCCCGCCGCGGCCTCGACGGCCGCGAGCGCGGCGTCGAAGTCCGCGAGGCGGTCCGCGCGCCGCCGCAGCCGCGCGGCGCCGTCGCGCGCCGTCGACACGTCGAAGTCGAGGCCCGCGCGCCGGTCCCGCTCGGCGTCGATGCGACCGTCGGCGTCGCGCAGGAAGCTCTCCTCGCCGTTGAGCCGCGCGTCGAGATCCTCGCGGAGCCGCGCGGCCAAACGCGACTCGGGCGGCACGGCCGCGGCGCCGTCCTGCGCCGCGGTCAGCGCGGCCGCGCGCCGCGCGGCCTCGCTCGACCGGTTGAGCGCGACGGCGGCGTCGAGCTTGTCGACGGCCGTCGCCATGGACGCCGCGTCGCGGAACTGGCGCCGCCGCTTCGCGCGGTGCTCGTCGGCCTTCTCCTCGGCGAGGAGCTCCTCGGCCGCGTCGGGCACGGCGTGGCCGAGCTCGCGCTGGAGCTGCACGTTCGCGCCGAGCTTGGCCTCCTCGACGAAGCCCCGGGCCGCCGCGAAGCCCAGGCCCATGCCCTCGGGCCGCTTCGTGACTTCCACGTGGCGACTCACGCCCTGCTCCTCCTTGCCGAGGCGGCCCGTGAAGCCCATCTTCTCGAGCATCTTGAAGCCGACGCCCTTGGTGTGCTTCATCCACTCGGGCTGCGCCGCCTTGCGGCCGCCGAACGCGGGCCGCGGCGGCGCCGGCGCCGGCGCGGCGGGCTCCGCGAGGAACTGCGCGCGAAAGTCCGCGTTCGACGCCGGCGCGGCCGGCGGCGCCGGCGGCGGCGGCGGCGGCGGCGCGGGCGCGGCGGCGCTCACGAAGGCCATGGGCTTCGAGTCGTTGCCGCCCTTGGCCGGCCGCTTGCCGCCGAGGCCGCGGCGCGGCGCCTCGTCGTCGTCGTCGCCGAAGACGCCCAGGTACGCGTCGGCCTTGCGCTTCTTCGCCGCGCCGAGGCCGAGCCGCGGCCGGGCCTCGTCCTCGTCGGAGGAGCTCATCGATGCGGCGGGTGCGGCGCGCGTGAAGCGATGCGCGGCGCGGCGCGGCGCGTGAAGCGATGCGCCGCTGCTAGTCACGAGTAGGCGCCAAGCTCATTGCGCGAGCAGGCTTTTATTGAGCGTCAACCAACTGCATCAACGACTGATGCTGCAGTCGACTTCGCAATCCGTGCCGATGAGAGGCAGCATGCTGGCAGCCCCTGCCTAGCTGTGAGCTGCACGCAGCCCCCGCGCGATGAACGAGGACGAGCTGGACCACGACGGCCCGACGATCTACGACCTCCAACTCGAGGTGGCGGCGTCGCGCGAGCTCGCGAAGAAGGCCGAGACCGAGGCCAAAGCTCTCAAACAGCAGCTCGCGGACGAACAAAGCCAGCACGCCCAGCAGCTCGAGGACGAACGAAGCAAGCACGCGTCGGAGCCGCGCGCGCTGGCAGCGATGGCTGCAGGGCGCGCGCGACGACGAGGGCCGCGACGACAGGAGGCGCGTCGCGGACCTCGAGGCCGAGGTCGCCGCTTTACGAAAGCAGCTCGCGCGGGAGCGGGCGCTCCGCACGCGCTTCGAGGCGACAGTAGGGGAGGACGCGACGGGCGCGGAAGCGCCGGGCTTCTTCCAGCGCATCCTGTGCCTGCCCGCGCCCGCGCCGCCGAAGGAGCCCGCGAAATCCGACGCGCCGGCGCTGACGGCGGCGCAGGACTACGGGCTCCGCCGCGTCTGCCGCCTCGCCGTGAAGCCCTTCGTGCGCAGCGTGCGCGTCGTCGGCGCGCCGGCCGACGTCGCGGCCGTGCTGACCGCGTGCGCGGCCAAGGCCAAGGCGCCGCTCCTCGGCCGGGGCCGCGGCGCCAAATCGCTCTACGAGGCCGTCGCCGCGCAGCTCGCCGCGGGCCACGAGGTCGTCGTCGTCGAGGGCGTCGACGCGGCGACGGCGGACAAGACGCCCGACGACCCGCGCTTCTCCGTGGGCAGCCGCGTGGAGATCTCGATCAAGGACGCGGAATTGCAGATCGCGGAGATCCGCGCCGTCGCCGCGGCCGTCGCCGCGAAGAGCGCCGTCCTCGTCTTCTCGACGACGGACACCTTCGCCGACGACGCGCTGCTGGCCACGTTCATGTCGCCCATCGTCGTCGACGTCGACGACCGCGGCGGCGGCGGCGACGAGGACGAGGCCGGGGAGCCTGCGCGCCGCTTCCCATAACATGCACACAAAAAAAACGAGAGATTACGAGGAGCAAATTCCGGGGCGGGTTCCACACGCGCACCGGCGGACGGGGTCAGTCCTGGGAGACCCAGGACGCGGGCACGTGGGGCCCGAAGACGAGCTTGCCGCTGCCGTCGAACTCGAGGTCGAGCGCGATGGCCTTGGCGACCTCGACGACGGACGCGTCGCCGCGGTTGAGCACGTCCGCGTGGCGGCAGACGAGGCAGTGGCTCGTCTCCTTGCGCGTGTTGAAGACCTCGAAGCGCAGCTTCTTGTCGCGAAAGTCGTAGTGCGCCGTGATGATGAGGTACTGTTTGTCGATCTTCTTCCCCCAGCGCGCGAGCTCGCGCTCGCCGACGCTGCCCGGCGCCGGCGGGGGCGCCGTGCGCACCGTCTTGAGCTGGCGCCCCGCCTGGGCGTCCATGGCCTTGGCATTCGCGAGCAGCTTGTTCAGCTGCCGCCGCGGCGTGCAGGCCGGCACGAGGCTCGGGTCGCTCGGCGGCCTAGCGCCGAAGAAGCCGCCGTCGACCCCGGCCAGGGGCGGCACGAGCGCCGCCGGAGGCGCGGGCATGGCGCCGCGCGAGACGCACGGCCGCCAGTAAGGGCAGCCCTAACCGCGAGGCGCCGTGGACGCTGAATCTTCCCATAGGCGATGGTGAACCACATGGTTCCATGGAGAATGTTCGCATCACGATCGATCGGGCAGCCGAGTCGGGGCATGCGCCAACCCGAAGCAGCAGCCCGACGCCATGAACACGTTGCTCTCGAACGCCGACGACGCGGAGCTGCTCGATGACGAGGTCTGCGCCCTCTCGCTGCAGCCCATCGCCGCGAACGCGCGCGTCTGGCGGTGCACGTGCGGTTGCGCAACGCTTGCTCCCTACATGAAGCACTACGCGCTCCGAGCGCTCATGGCGAACGAGAACGGAGACGTCTATTGCCCAATCCGCTGCGGCCACCGCCTGGGCAACGCCGAGCTCCGCGAGCTCGGCTTCTCGCCGATGAGCGTCCCCCGGAACGACGCGTTCGCGTCGCTGCTCCGGGGCGAGATCCCCTGCGCCGACGCGTCGTGCGCCGGCTACTGCGCGCCGCTGGGCTCGCGCTTCGGCCGCGGCGCGTCGTCGCGCCGGGCCAGGTGCGTCGCCTGCTCCGCGGTCGCGTGCCTCCGCTGCGGCGGCCGCTACAGCGATCGCCACGCGGTCCTCGGCTGCGATCCGTCGGCCGCGGCGGCGTGCGCGGCGCTGCCCGTGGCCGTCGCCGGCGCCGCGGCCGTCCTCGCGACGGGCGCCGTCGCCGTCGCGGCCGAAGCCGTCGCGATCCCGTTGTCGGGCGTCGCCGCGGGCGTCGGCTACGTCGGGGCGGCAAAGGGCGACCGGCGCCGCAACGCGCGGGCCTACGCGCGGCGCACCTACATGGCGCCCCTCCGCCTGGCGTCGTCGACGACCGGCGCCATCAGCGCCAAGGCCACGCCGGTCCTCGCCGCGGCGACGCCCTTCGCGTGCGCGCCCGCCTGCGGCGCCGAGGGCGACTAAGAACTAACGTTTAGACGCGCTCGTCGCCGAGGATGGAGCGCAGGGACGCGTCGCGCTGGGGCCGTTGCATGACGCGCGCGTGCGGGTGCCGGTGGTGGCCCGGCGGCGGCCGGCGGTCGACCGCGCCCGAGCCCTGGCGCCGGAGCCCCGGCGGCCCGGAGAGGCCGCGGGGCCGCCGCCCGTAGGGCCCGGGCTCGCCGCGGCGCGCGCGCTCGCCGAAGCCGCGGCGCTTGTAGGACCCGACGCTGTCCTCGCGCCCGTCGAGGAGGCTCTGCTCCGCGGGCGCGGCGACCTTGTTCTCGAAGACCTTGGGGAAGGCCCGGCGCACGAAGCGGCCGATGACGTCCTCGGCCTTGTCGCGGTCGTGCTCGTCGTAGATCTCCTCCGTGAGGATCTCCTCGATGATGTCCTCGAGCGTGACGATGCCGAGGATGCCCCGCCGGCCCGCGGCGTCCTCGGCGACGAAGCCCATGTGCGTCGCGCCGGTCTGGAACTGGTTCAGCAGATCGAAGAGGCTGTGGTCCGGCGACACCCAGACGGGCGCGTGCGTCGGGAGCGTCGCGACGGGTAACGACGCGGACGCGTCCGCGCGGAGCGCGTGGGGCACGAGCTCCTTCACCTGGGCAGGAAGAGAGAGATTCAACGTCGCTTCAATATGAGTGTTCCGCGCGCGCGCGTTCCGGAAAAAGCATCCATGCTTCGAGACCGTTCCGAGAAATGATCGCTCGTCCAAAACTCAGCCGAAACGAGTGGAAAACGGCCGAGATAGGGGCCTTTGAAGTTGGGAATTTCACACTCTTTTCCTGCCCTGTCCTTCACGAGCACGTAGGAGCGGATGGCGCCGCCGACCTTGACGGGCACCCGCGAGAAGCCCTGGTCGTCGATCTTCTCCAGGAGCGCCGCGTCGAGCGCGTCGCTCTCGTCGACGGCGTAGACGCGCTTCAGAGGCACCATGACCTCGCGGACCGACGTCGTCGACAGGCTCATGGCGCCCTTGACGAGGTCCGCCTCGTCCTCCGTGAAGGGCTCGGCGCGGCCGTCCTCGTTGGCGAGCTCGCGCTCGACGTCGACCAGGGCCAGGACCTCCGCGCGGGACGTCGCCTTGGCCTCCTCGTGCAGCGCGGCGTCGAGCGCGAGCGCCATGGGGTAGGCGAGCGGCGCCAGCACGACGAGGAAGCAGTGGACGAGGGGCGCGAAGGCGGCCGCGATCTGGAGCTTGTTGGGGCCCGTGAAGAGCGCCGACGGCGCGATCTCGCCGAAGACGAGCACGGCGGTCACGGAGATGACGATGGCCGCCCAGCTCGGGACGAGTTTATCCAAGAACAGCGGCAGCGCCTCGTTGGCGCAGGAGTTCAGGAGGAGGAGCGTCACGAGCACCTGGTGGTGGGGCCGGCGGTCGACGAGCGGCAAGAGCCGCGCGGCGCACGCCTGCTCGCTCTTGGTACCCGTGCGCATCTTCACGCGCAGGTCCAGGGGGTCGAGGCTCACGACGCCCATGGTGAGGCCCGCGGCGAGCGCCGCGCAGATGATGCACGTCGCCGTGAGCGCGAGGTCCAGGAGGCCCCGGGGGCTCCCGACGGCGTCCATGGCCTCCTCGTCGAGCCGTCGGCGGGCCGCGGCGGCGACGCAGAGGTCAATGGTCGTTCCCGGGCGGAGCAGGTCCGCGGCGCGCAGCGCGGCGCAGAGGCCGTCGGGCGTGGTTGCGGCCATCGCATTGGGCATGAAGGTTATGGCCATAAGGAGGAGCAGCCCCGAATGGCACGATGAAGCTCCCAGGCGTCGTCGCCGCGGCAGCCCCGAAGACATGGCCATCCCGGTGGCCCGTGCTCCAGCTTTGTTGAAGTTCAAGACGAGTGCTCTTTTGCCCAAGCCTCGGAGCACCGATGGCTTGCACGATCGTGCCACGCGCTCGTTGCGCTCGGCGCGTCTTGCTCGCGCTTTTGCAGCTCTGCATGGTGCGCGGCCGCTGGCTCGCGGCGCCGAATCCTGCACTGCAGGAGCTGCAGAGCACTAGGGGTTGGCAGTTCGTGCTGCACAAGCAGGGCGTCAAGGTCTGGAAGCGCACGGGCTGCGACGACCACGCGAACTTCGCCGTCAAGGCGACGATGACCATGCCCTGCACGGCCCAGCAGCTGGCGAGCATCCTGACGACGCGCGACTACGACGTCATCCGAAAGTTCAACCCGACGATCGTCGACGGCGCGGACCTCGAGTGGCGCGACGGCCGCAGGGAGCGCATCACCTACATCCTCACGAAGCCCGTCTTCCCGCTGCGGCCGCGCGACTTCGTCTGCCGCGTGCGCCGCGAGCGCGTCGGCGACGCGGAGCTGATCACGAACGAGGCGGCGACGCACCGGCGCGCGCCCGCGCCGCGGCGCACGGTCCGCGGCGAGCTGCGGGGCCTGCACCTCGTCGAGCCGGCGGGCGACGGGTGCTGCCTCTACACCTGCGTCCACGAGATCGACCCGGGGGGCGCGGCGCCGCGGCGACTCGTGAACTGGTTCGCGCTGCGGAAGCCCCTCCAGTACATGCGCCAGCTCCGCGACGTCGCCGCCGCGACGTTCCCGCGATAAGAGTAGAGTGGGTGTCCCGGCGGAATGTGTTGAAGTGGCCCCGTAGGGAGGGTTATGAGGAAGCCCGTCGATCGTGAGGTTCAATATACACTTCAATGCTCTAAGATGAAGTTCTGAGGGTCTTATGGCTGCGGCATTGGCCCTCGTTGGCTTCTGATTGCGGAGCTCTTGCGATGGCCGCGGCTTTGCGAGGCCTCCGAGCGATGCGCCGCATCGGCGGCCCGGTGCGGCGCCTCTCCGGCCCAGCGTTTCGCGCGATGCGCGGCCCGGCGCGGCGCCTCTCCGGCCCAGCGTTTCGCATGTCGCGCGCGGCCTACGCGGAGCGGCAGCGCGCGTCGCTGGAGCCCGGCCGGCGCGAGGCCTTCTGGCTGCAAAATGCCGTCGAGGAGCTCGACTGGTTCGAGCAACCGACGACGGCCGTCGACCTCGAGAAGCCGACGGGCCGCTGGTTCCCCGACGGCGTGTCGAACCTCTGCCACAACGCGCTCGATCGCCACGTCGCCGCGGGCCTCGGCGCGAAGACGGCGATTTCGTACGTGTCCACCGTCGGCGGCGCGAGCCGCGACCTCACCTACGCGGAACTCCTCGACGACGTGGCGCGCTTCGCGGGCGGCCTCGCGGCCCTCGGCGTCGAGCCGGGCGACCGCGTCCTGCTGTACATGCCGATGATCCCCGAGGCGGCCGTGGCCATGCTCGCGTGCGCGCGCTTGGGAGCCGTGCACAGCGTCGTCTTCGGCGGCTTCGCGGCGCGGGAGCTGGCGGCGCGCGTCGACGCCGCGCGGCCCAAGGTCGTCGTCGCGGCGACGTGCGGTCTCGAGGGCGCCAAGGGCGCCCTGCCCTACATGCCGGCCGTCGACGAGGCGCTGGATCTGGCGGCGCACGACGTGCCTCATGTGGTCGTCGCGGCCCGGCCCGAAACTTCGGCGCGCTACGAGCTCAAGCCGGGGCGCGACGTCGATTTCCGAGCGTTCATCGCCGGGTCCGCGCCGGCGCCCTGCGCGCGCCTCGCGAGCGGCGACCCGCTCTACACGATCTACACGAGCGGCACCACCGGAGAGCCCAAGGGCATCCTGCGGGACAACTCGCACCCGCTCATGCTCAAGTGGTCCATGGAGCACTACTACGGCACGTCGCCCGACGAGACGTTCTTCGCGGCGTCCGACATCGGCTGGGTCGTCGGCCACAGTTATATAGTGTACGGACCGCTGCTGCACGGCGCGACGTCGGTCATGTTCGAGGGCAAGCCCGTGGGCACGCCGGACGCGGCTGCGTACTGGCGCGTCGTCGAAGCGCACAAGGTCGCGAACATGTTCACGGCTCCGACGGCGCTGCGGGCGATCCGCAAGTTCGACCCGGACGGCGCGCTGCTGGCGGACTACGACGTCTCGTCGCTCCGCGCGCTCTTCGTCGCGGGCGAGCGCGCGGACCCGGACACGGTGGCGCACTTCGAGAACCTGTTGGGGATCCCGGTCGTCGACCATTGGTGGCAGACGGAGAGCGGTTCCCCGATGTGCGGCGTCCAGTTCGACGACGTCGGCACGGCGCTCGGCTCCTGCGCGCTGCCGCTGCCCGGCTTCGACCTGCGGGTCCTGGACGCGGGCGGCGCGGAGGTGGCCCGGGGCGACATGGGCAGCATCGCGATCAAGTGCCCGCTGCCGCCGGGCTTCATGACGACGCTCTACGAGGACGACGCGCGCTACCGCGAGGCGTACCTCGACGAGTTCCCGGGCTACTACAGCGCCGGCGACGCGGGCTACCGCGACGAGCACGGCTACTTCCACATCCTGACGCGCACGGACGACATCATCAACGTCGCGGGCCACCGCCTGTCGACGGGCGCGCTCGAGGAGGCGATCCAGGCGCACCCGCACGTCGTCGAGTGCGCCTGCGTGGGCGTCGCGGACGCGCTCAAGGGCATGGTCCCGCTCGCGCTCGTCGTGACGACCGCCGACGCGTCCGAGGACGTCGAGGGCGCGGTCGTCCAGCTCGTCCGCGAACGCGTCGGCGCCGTCGCCGCGCTGCGCGCCTGCGCGCGCGTCGCCGCGCTGCCGAAGACGCGGTCGGGGAAAATCCTCCGCAAGGCGATCCGCGCGATCGCCGACGGCGACGACACGTACACCTTACCCGGCACCATCGAGGACGCGACCGTCGTCGACGACCACATCATCCCGGCCCTTGCGTCCCTCGGCTACCCGAGGACAACCTAACATTCTTTTAGACCGGCGGCGCTCGACCCATGCCCGTCGCCGACGACGCCATCTTCCGGATGCCGCGGAACATGGACTGTTTCGGCGCCGCGGCCGCGGGCGACGGCGCCGCGGGCGACGGCGCCCGGGGCTGCGCGGGCGTCGGCGGCGCCGCGGGCATCGCCAGCCCCCGACTCGCCGCCGCCGCCGCGTCGACGGCTTCGCGCTTGCAGAGCTCGCCGAAGTCCTCGCTCTCGTCGTACATGATCGCGTAGTACTTCTCGCGGTGATGCATGACGTACTTCGCGAGGAGGTCGACGATGAACGTCGCCGCCGCGAAGAGCGCGAGGGCCGTCGTGATTCGGATCAGCGCCTCCGTGGCGTCGAAGGAGTAGAACGTCCCGGATTGCACGAACTGGATCTTCACGCCGGAGTTCTGCACGACGGTCAGCCCCTGGGGATAGTCCGAGTAGTACGACTCCTCGTAGGAGGCCGTGCTGCCCTTCTGGTGCGTGACGTGGTAGGTGTAGGCCGGCATCGTCGGCGTGTTCCAGTCCTCGCGGTTGTTGTACTCGATCTGCACCGTCAGCTGCACGCCGACCTCGCGGTACGTGCCGTTCGCGTCGGAGTTGTAGCGGTCCAGCGAGAAGTCGTTGTCGGCCGCCAGCAACACGCCCAGGTCGATCTCGTCGAAGAGGTCCGACGACGCGCCGAGCGAGCTGTACGTGTTGTTCGGCTGGATGAAGCACGGCTCGGTGTGCGTCCGCTTGCCGTGGCGGAGGTCCGCCTTGGGGCCGTGCGCGCGGTCGCAGAGCGCCTTGCTCTTCGAGCGGAGCCGCCCCTTCGTCTTCTTCGACGTGCCGGAGATGCCGAGGTCCGACGCGGAGAACGTGTGCTTGACGAACACGACGAAGCTGTCGATGTCCGCGACGTACCACTCGTCCGTGCTGTTCGTCGCGTAGACCTGCGAGCAGCTCCCGCCCTCGTAGAGGGGGTCCTCCGGGTTCGTCGAGCAGATCTTCTTCTGGTCCTGCTGCAGCGCGCGCGTCGTGCAGAAGAGGCTCAGGTCCTGGATCTCCTCGACCTGCGTGTACTCCTCCTCGCGGCAGGCGATCTTGCGGCCGCCGTAGCCCGTGGCGTTGTCCTGGACGCAGTACGCGTAGGTGTCGACGTTCCCGAAGAGGTCGTAGCAGTCGTCGTTCGCCGCGGCGACGTCGCAGGGCCCGCACGTGCCGTTCGCGTCGTCGCCGCCGCGGCACGTCGAGCCCCGCTGCCGCAGCTGGAACTCGACCGTGCCCGTCGGGTACGACTCCTTCAAATAGCCGCCCTGGTAGATGAGCTGGTACAAGATCACGTAGACGCCGATGCAGATGTAGAGGAGCAGGCGGAGGCAGCCGAGCCGCGCGTCGCGGATGCTCGCGTACTTGGGCGTCTGGTAGGACAGCGCGACGTCGAGGTCGACGCCCGTGAGCGTCTCGAAGGGCTCCGACGGCAGGTAGCGGCTGTCTAACCCGAAGCGGCTCCGGAAGCTGTCGCCGAGGCAGCCGTCGCTCTCGACGGCGCCGTACGTCGGGATCGTTTTTGCCATGGCTTTTCGGCAGCGCTCACGGTCTGCGGCGAGGCATTGTGCCGATCACCATGCCGCAGTCGAGAAAAGCCCGATTGCGATGATGTCACGGCAACATGGTGCGTCAACGCCGCCGAACCTTTGGCCCGCAGGCGAATGCGCATTGGCCGCACCACGAGCCGCCGCCGCCGACACCGCGGGCGCGCCGCCCCAGAAGAGCACCATGTCCGCGGGCCCGAAGAAGAGCACGGACCACGACCGCGTCGTCTCCGTCGGAGTGCCCACGGTGGGGCCCTACGGGGTGACCATGGAGGACGACGGGCGGGGCAAGGCCGCCGTGATCCGCGCCTGGGAGAAGCTCCCGGACGGGCGCTTCGGGGCCGTCCAGCGCCACGGCGGCGTGCGCGTCGGCGACGTGCTCGTGGGCGTCAACGAGACGCCGACGGCGGAGCTGCCCTTCCCGCAGGTCATGGAGCTCCTGCGCGACGAGAACGCGCTCCGGAAGACGCTCCACTTCTCGAGCCGCGCGGAGCTCGACCGGCGGCGGTCCGCGACGGGTTTAGGCGACGCCGCCGGCACGCAGGCCGCCGGCGGCCGGCCGGGCCGCGTGCGCTTCACGTCCCGCGTGCGCCGCGCGCGCGTCAACGACGACACGGCGAGTTCGTTCGCCGAGTACGAGATCGTCTGCGCTTTGCGCCTCGACGCGACCAAGGTCGAGCACGAGACCGTGCGCAAGTGGGCGCTCTGGCGCCGCTTCTCCGACTTCGAAAAGCTCGAGGCCCAGCTCCGCAAGTCCCTGGGCTGGCAGCTCGACGGCGCGGTGTTCCCGCCGAAGCGGTCGTTCACGTTCGACAAGCTGGCCCCCGACTTCCTCGAGCAGCGGCGCGGCGAGGTCGACGCCTGGTGGCAGCGCGTCATATCCGTCGACCGCGCCTGCGACTTCCACATGCACCACGGCGACGCGCACCTCAAGGCGTTCGTGAAGGCCGCGGACTACCTCGCCGCGCGGCCCGCGGCCGCGGACGGCGGCGGCGACGAGGCGCCCAGGCCGGGCAACGCCGTCGCGTCGAACCAGCGCCGCCGCTCCAGCGCGACGAACGCGGCGACGGCGAGCCGACGGCCCGCGTCGATGCGCTCGAGCCTCTCAAAGCGCAAGGTCGGCGCGCCGCCCCAGGCCGCGTCCGCGCCCGCCGTCGCCGCGCGGCCGCCGCCGGCCGCCGCGGCGGCGCCGGCCGCGGCGCCGGCCGCCGCCGCGCCCGCGAAGCCGCCGCCGCCGGCCGCGAAGCCGCCCGCGCCCGCGGCGTCGAAGCCGCCGCCGCCGCCGCCCAAGGCCGGCGGCCGCGCGTCGCTCGGCGGCGGCCTCATGGCCCAGATCAACAGCCTGCGCGTCGACTGACAGCCCTGCGTAACTCCTTAGTTGCCGAAGAAGACGGCCGGATCGACGGCCTTGCTCTGCTTCGGGAGCCCCGCGGCGCCGAGGAGCAGCAGGACGAGGGTCTTGATGCTCCCCTTGAAGTCGGCGAGGTCCGCGCGCTCCGTCGCCTCGCCGAGGGCCGCGCCGGGGTCGTGGAGGCCGCAGGCGTAGGTCGCGGCCTTGGGCAGCGCGGCGCCGACGGCCGCGGCGAGCGGGAGGTACGCGGGCGACGCTCCCAGAACGACGAGCGGCCGGCCGGGGAACTGGGCCGCCGCGGCGCCCTTGAGCTTGGCGGCGAAGAGGGGCGCGACGTCGCTGAGGTAGCCCCGGCGCGTCGCGTCCGCGCAGGACACCGTCGCGGTCGCGCCGCGCGCGGCCGCGAGCTCCGACAGTTTCGCCGCGAGCCTGTCGACCGCGACCGACGGCTCGAAGCCCGGCGCCAGGTGGACGTGGAGGGACGCCGCCGCGTCGCCGGCGAAGTCGGCCACGGAGACGCCCGGGTGGAAGCAGAGGTGCTCCGCGAGGGTCCAGCCCGCGAGCGGCGCGGCGGCCGTCAAGCTCGGGTCGAGGGTCGCGTCCGCCGCCGCGGCCTCCGTGAACTTGTTCTTCTTCGCGAAGCCCGCCAGACCGTCGACGGCGAGGGCGCCCGAGGCCCCCCTTAGCCCCGCGAGCGCCGCGCAGAGGACGTCGCGCGCGGAGAAGACCGTCGGCCCCGCGGGCCCCGCGTCCACGGCGACGTCGACGCGCAGGAACCCGCGGCAGCTCAGGAACGCGCCGAAGGCGCCGGGCACGAGACCCGCGCCGACCTCGTCGACGAGGACGTAGTCCGGGGCCCTGTCGCGGTCCGCGAGGACCTTCCGCAGGTGCGCGAAGGACCCGTCGGCGGCCGGGCACGCGCAGACGACCTCGACGTTGACCTTGGGCCGCTGGTCGTCGCTCAGGCCGTGGAGCAGCGCCTCGACGGCGGCGATGGGCGCCAGCGCGCCGGCCTTGCACGCCTTGGCGCCCGGCGCGACGACGGCGCCGTCCCGGGTGTCCGCGCCGCCGGCCCAGCCCTCGGGCCCGTCGACGCCGTACGACGCGACGAGGAGCACCGTGGGCTTCTCCTTGGCGCCCGGCGCGACGCCGCGCACGACGGCGCGGCCCGCGCCCGCCGGGTCCGGGATGACGTCCACGGCCATGCCCGCCTTTTGCATCGCGCTCCGCAGGGCCTCCGCGCACGCGTCGCAGGCGTCCGCGGCGCCGGGCGCCGACGCGATGCCCGCGAGCTCGGCGAGCGTCGCCGCCGTCGCCTCGAAGGACGCGTCGACGTGGCTGAGCGCGCCCTCGCTCACGTCCGCGACCTTCTCCGGCAGCCGCTTCATCATCTCCGACAGGTACGTGACCATGGCCTGGTCCTCCTTCCAGCACTCGGCGTCGTCGCCGTCGAGGAGCTCGGGCACGCCGTACTTGGCCCGCGCCTCGGCGAAGGCGCTGGAGAAGTTGGCGCAGGCGTCGGGCGCGGGCGCGTAGGGGAAGCCGTCGGGGTCGACGTCGGAGACGATCGCGAGGAACGCGCGGCCGTCCATGAACGAGTCCTTCAGGTTGCGGATCTCCACGTCCGTGTTGGCCTCCGTGCGCTTCTGGCACCACTTCAGGATCTTCTTCTTGAGCGCGCTGATGTCGTCGACGCCGCCGAGGTCCTTGCTCGTGAAGAAGACGATGATCGACCAGAGCAGGCCGAGCACCATGGTCGGCTTGCCGTCGGCGATGTCGCTCGGGCCGATGCCCACGGTTTTCGTGGTCTGCTTGATGTAGCGGAAGCAGATGCTGAGGTTGGACACGTGGTCGATGCGCGTCTCCTGCTTGCCCTTCTTCGGCTTCTTGATGCGTCCCAGCGGCGCGAGCGACTGGCCGCTGAGCTCCTCGAGCAGGGCGTAGAGCACGCGGCCGTCCCGCAGGTCCTATAAATGAGTTTTACTCGCAAACAAAAAAGACGAAAGAAAAGAAAATCACCTCGAAGACGTCCGTGATCGGCGGCACGTCGTCGCGGTCGCAGAGCTTGGCGTTGCAAAAGTTCGTGAAGAGCCGCCGCTGCCGCTTCATCCTGCGGGCGGCGGGGTCGGGGGCGGGCGCGGGCGCGCGCGCGGGACAGCGCACCATTTCGGCTGCGAGCCGGGAGAGCCGGAGCCGCCCGAGGCGGACTTAAGGGTCTTCTGCACGCTCGCAGATGGGGACTCGGGGTCCGCCATCGCACCGACCGATCGATTGGCGCGCGCGCCGCCCGGGTGCTCCATGGGGCAGCCCGGCCTCAAGGTTGCCTCGGTGCCGCTTGATTTGCGAGTAGTCGTACCGATTGATAGGCGGAGCGGGCTGCCGCGCGCGGGGTCGTATACGCGCGCCGCTCCCGGACGTCCGCGGCGGTCGTCGCGCCGGTGCCCGACGCCATGAGCCAGGCGACGCTCTCCAAAGTAGAGAGTGAGGTCGGCCGCTTACAGGAGGACGTGAACATGTACAAAAAGGCGACGACGAAATCGGCGGCCTGCGCCAAGCGCGCGCCCCGCGCCACTGCCCCCCGCGCGCTCCCCGAGAGGCCCCGGGACGGCCCCGGGGGCAGCCCGTCGCGTGCGGGGACGCCGCGCGTCGACGACGCGCCGCGCGCGCGCGCAGGCTGTGCCAGTACATCCAGGAGAACCAGAACGACGACCCCTTCTCCGCGGAGTACTCGGGCCAGCCGAACCCGTTCCACAGCAGCGCCCATAGGAACGACATCTGCTGTACCGTGAGCTAGGACGCGCCGGCCTCTCCGCGCTGCCGCCGCCGCCGCGCCGGCGGCGCGGCGCGCGCTCTATTCTCCCACCCCGTTGTGATGTGTGTTGTACGGCGGCCCCTGATCATCGGCCTCGCGGCGCCGCCTCTCTTTGGCCGCCCCGTTCATTACCCGCCCTTCTTCGGAACGGCGCGTCCGAGGCCCCAGGCCGCGCTCGCGCGCGCGCGCGCCTCGCGCCGACCTCGGAGCGCGCCGGCGCGGGCCCGAAAACTTAACCAGAAATGATTTACAAGCACGGCGCGACATCACACGTTGAAGGACTCGCCGCAGCCGCATCGTCCCTTCTCGTTCGGGTTCGTGAACGTGAAGCCCGTCTCCAGGGCCGTCTCCTCAAAATCCATGACCGTGCCGACCTGCGAATGGTTCGCTGAGACGCCCGCGCGGGGCGGCGCGCGCCCCCTCTCTCTCGGAAAAGCTCGACGCGGGCCGCGCGCGATGTGGAAAAGCGCGGGCGGCTCGACCCAGACGACCGCGCCGTCGCACTCGACGCGCTCGTGCTTGGCGTCCGGCGCCTCCGTCGCGTAGTTGAGCGTGTAGCTCATGCCGTTGCACCCTCGTCGCTTCACGCCCAGGAGCACGCCGATCGCGTCGTCCTTACCGGAGAGCATGCCGTTGATGCGCGCCGCCGCGTTCGGCGTCACCGTGAGGGCCGCCGGCAGCGCGCGGGCGCGCTTCTTGGGGGCCGCGGGGGCGGCGCCCGTCGCGGCCGGGGCCTCCGCCGGCTGCGTCGACCACCGCGCGGCGCCTGGTCTCCGCAGGGCGGCGGCGCTTGGTCTTCGTAGTAATGCGCGGGCGAGCATCGTCTTCGCGAAGCGGGGTTCGATCCGTGGCACGGCCCCGAGCGCGTCGGGGCGCGTGGGCGGGATGCGCGGCGGGGGCGTGGGCGGACGGGGGCGCGGAACTCCCGCGGAGCACGCCGAGTCGTCGACAAGCAAGTTTGCCTTCGTCGGCCTGCAGGCTCGGAGCCGCAGCCTAGCGGCGTCGAGGCTCGTCGGAGCCCGACGCAGGCCTCCGCCCCG